TTGCAGTCTCCAAGTTCACAAAAAGTTCTCACGACTAATGAACAACCCGAGCGTGAATTGAATATCCCAAAAATGGGAGTATTAAATGTTCCCCAAAACAATGAAAATACTCAATTGCAGTCACCAAGCTCAAAAAAAGTTCTTTTCACGGCTAATGAACAACCCGAACGTGAACTAGATATTCCAAAAACGGGTGTACTGAATATTCCTCGAAACAACGAAGATGACGGAGGGTGGAAACCGAGTACATCTAAACAAAATCAATCTGATGTCATGAGTATCAATTCATCTATCCATACCATTACTTCATATGTTGACGAAAATGAAAACGAAATAGACCCTAATACCATTGACCCAAGAACATCGGAAGTTGTTAGGCGAGCATCTAAAGTTACCAGCGTTCATAGTCAAATAGAATACGTGGACGAGGATGGTAATCTTATAGATCCAAAAAGGATTGTTCCCAGAGCATCAGATATCATTAATGATTATAGTCAGATAGAATATGCGGACAAAGATGGTGATCATACAGATCGTTATACAATTGGTTCTAGAACATCCAAGGTTGTCAGCGTTCACAGTCAAATAGAATACGTGGACGAGGACGGTAATCACATAGATCCAAGTACAATAAACCGTAGAACATCTAAGGTTGTTAGTGTTCACAGTCAGATAGAATACGTGGACGAGGACGGTAATCACATAGATCCAAGTACAATTGACCGTAGAACATCTAAGGTTGTTAGTGTTCACAGTCAGATAGAATATGTGGACGAGGATGGTAACCATGTTGACCCAAGCAATATTGACGGTAAAAGTATTACATCCTTTGATACTGGCAGCGAACTTCTTTCTCCACGATATCGAAAGACGAGAATGATGTCAATAAGCTCGAGAAAATCAGTAATAAGTGAGATCAAGAGTGAGATCTCATATGTATACGAAGGAGACGAGATTAATCCAGAAGAAATTAGTGCGGGCAATCGAATTGAAATTGATAGTATCCAAGAATATATTTCGGAACTTGCTGAAGAGGAGACGGAAGGAATTGAGCATATTGCTGGTCCATCCAATTCACGCGAAGAAGATTCCGGTGACAAAAGTAAAAAAAAATCAGCATTTAAAAAAATCTTTGATTTTGGTAAAAAATAAGCACGCATCTAGGCAAGACAAAGACTTACCATGGAATGATGAATAATGGTAGTATGTTAATTTTGCGTATTGGCGATGGGAATATAGTCTCTCGTTCGATTTCGCCTGATTGTAAATATAAAAGAAAATTACGACGTATTAACAAGAGCTATTTAACATAATTTATTTAAGCTTTACAAAAATAGAATTTATATTCGCAGTATCATTAAAACAATTATTCTTTATCCACGTGTACTATTTCAATAAAAATCATCGAGACATAATAATTGCAAAAATCAAATCCATAAATCCATAGATATATTTATTGATGATTGGATTAAGCTCTCAATTTAATAAAATAATCGATAAAATAAGTATATAATGCTTACCAAGATCACCATATTGCTCATGTGATTTAGCTATTTACTAATTATCTCATTATAAGGAAATAGGTTCATTAAATTATTATTAGTGATATTAACTATCTTAGATTTTTTCAAATCTTAACTTTCTAGATGTATTTATGAAGAATGATAAAAATTAATCCTTTTCAAAGTCAAATGTTATAACCTTAGTCTTGAAAGATTAAAATTAGTCTATATCAAATTGCTTATTGTTATTGATTTATTCTAAAGTATATATCAAGACTAACATGTCAAGACTCTATTAATATTATTATTGTATAATTGAAAATAATTAAATTTCTTTTTCAGTTCAACTAATTATTTATTAATTTCTATTATATATTAATTACTTTATATTACTTAATAATTTTAATATAATATAGTTTTAAATTCAATTTTATCATATATATTATTGATATTATTTCAATATTAGTTTAATATCAGTTCAATATTTTTCAAAGTTTTAGTTTCTATTAAATATTATAATTTTTATATTTTAAATAACTTTTTTTATTGATTTTTTTATTAATTCAAAAACAAATATTTTAAAAATATTTTATATTTTTTTATAATAAAACCTATATATTTTTCTTAATAATATTACTATTCAAAGACTTTAATTTCTTTTTATTTATTTGTTTTTTTTTTTAAAATAAACTTTTTGTATTTTCATAAGTAAATATAAGAAAAATTTATTTATAAAATTAAAAACAAAACATTTTGTTAAGAAAAAATTTTATAAAAAAATAGTTACAAATTTTTAAAACTTTTTCTTATTCTTTTCAAGTTCTTTTTTTTATTTTTTTAAACATATAAACTTTTTTTAAATTTTTTTTAAAACATTTTATTTATTTTAATTTAATTTTACATTAAAATTTCTAAATAATAATTGACTTAAAATTCGAACTGATTAATTTATATATAACAAAAAATATAAACAAAAAATATAATCTTTACATGTTTTATTTTATACAACAATAAATTTAATAATATTATTAAACATATGAAAAAAGTAAAGTAATAAGATATCTATCTTGTTAAGATATATTATAGTACTTTTTTTTTTCTTTTATACTGGTTTTTTTTATTTTTAAAATTAAAAAAGACATATTTCAATTCAATAAAAATTCTCTTATTAATAATTATCTTGAGAAGACATTTAAGTATTTATATAAATTATATTGTAAGTGTCTTAAATATTCTTAATTAATAATGAAATTGTAAAAATCAAATAGTTTAAAAAAAACTCTTTCCCATTTCCCTCAAATTTTTGAAAAACTTTTCTTTTTAGGAAACTTTAACTAAACAAGTTTGGAAATCTTGTCAAGTTATCTTTTCCTCTAAAAAAAAACTTTTTCTCTTCTTTTACCACTATCAAGGATAAAAATTCTCTTCTAAAGAAGTCAACTGGTTGTTCTCTTTCGTTATAGCCTAAGAGGTTTAAGTTAAGTAGAGCCAGATATTATGGGTGGAAGATCAAATCCTGGATTTATTGAATGAAAGACTAGCTCTGCTTCTTTAAGACAAAAAGTTACTTCTGTCAATACCGATACAACAAGTCTTACATATCCTAAAGACCTGTTACATATGAGCCAATTTTAAGAGTTTGGTTGTAAAGACTCAAGCTGCATAAGGATAGGACTTTTGATCGAATTTCTCAAGACTGGACATCTTGTGAATGAAGATTGTATAAAGAAAGGTTTTTAGTTTGACATCTTTTTCACTTATATATACAGAAACATCTTGGTTTTTTTTTTCTTTTCACAAAAAAAAACCGAAATCAGCTTATCTTCATCAAAAGATCAATATTATATTCTAATCAATCACAACTCATCAAAATTGCACTATCGATTACCACAATGACATCAACAATAATAACAACAACAATACTACCACCAATAGCCTATTATATATTAATATCAAATAAATAACTTTGAAAAGAACAATAATATGGATACTAATGTATATATACTAGATATGGCAATGTTAATGGCTTATCGAGTATATAGGAGTTGCGTCCTGCTTGGCAATTTTTGCCTCTATATTTGGTAGCTTAAGCCAACCAAATCTTTTGGAGTATCTATTAGAAGATTTTGGAGTCGCGTTTCACTTGATCTTTGAATCCTTTAGATTTGGTAGTCTGTGTCAATCAAAGATTATAGTTTTGAAGCATTTACTAGGAAGTACATATTCACATTAGCCTCTTCTATCTTTATAGCTGCATAAGCTGAAGTTGTGATATGAAAAGTTGTTTACTTAATATTAATATACAGTATGTTTAATTTCTTTTTTTTTTATTTCTTTTTTTTATCTTTCACTAAAATTACATGATCTGTTATGCAACTATCTAGATAGTATATTAGTTTTAAATTTTCTTTTCTAATATAGTTTAGATAGATATTTTGATAAACTAGCATTTAACTCATGTATTATGAGAGATGTGGATTCTTTTTCAAAGTTATATCTTAGTACATACATATAATAAAGAACTGATATTTATCAAATATATATATATATATAATATATATTGTCATATATCATTTCTATCTCAGGAGAAGGATAAAGATGTAGAACTAGTAGCAGAGAGATACTTTAAATAGACAGGATTAATATAGTATGCTAAAGTTCCTAGAGGTATACAAATTAGTACAATTTTGAGATGTATGAGATTAGACGAAAGAAGCAATAGTGATTTGTTTTGTAAAGGTTAAGATTATATATGTTTTCTTATTGCTATAAAATAAAATTTGATCGACAATACAATTTTGAATTAAATATGATTCTCAATTACTTACTAATTGTTACTTAGTAATACAAACATAATATGGTTTTTGAAAAATGTTTGAATTAAATATAAACACATGTATAGTCAAGATATTTATTTGATAAAATATATGTTTAAGCCTGCTAATTTCTAGACAAAATTGGAGCCTTTATATACAGTATATGTTTTAGTTATAATATTTTTGTATATGATAAATATATGTTATAAGAAATAAAAAAGATATAAAAGAAATATTATATTTAACAAAATAGTTATCTATATTTGTTAGCATAAAAACAAATGCACTGGTGAAGATACAAGAATAAAAATAATTAAATAAAATAGAAAATATTCTAGAGCAACAATAGCACAAAAAGCATAGTGCTAAACAATAACAAGAATAGTGATACAAAACTTATTCTAAAAGGGCAACATTTCAAAGATAAATGTTAGTGAAAATTGAACAAGAGATAGTAATGATCTTGGGCAAAAATCAAATATAACAATACTATATTTTTATTTATAAAAAATTATTTTTTTAGAAAACTTCTAATTTACAAGAAACTTTGTTTAATAAAACATGTCTTTTAATAAAAGAATATAAACTTAAAGACCAATTTAAAGCAGCTAAAGTTTTGAAGTTCAGATTAATCCTAAAGATTTTAGCAAAGATTTATTTTAAAAAATTTAATAATTAGCAATTATATTAAACAATAATTTGAAATAGAGAAGACAAAAGAAAATTTTCTATTTTATTGAAAAAAAAAAACTCTTTTCCGTACACAACTTTTTCTTAAAAATTTTCTTTTATAGTAATTTTTCTTCAAAATTAAAAAACAAATATTTTTTTTGCCTTTCAATATCCAAAAGTCCTTCACATTTCCTCTTTTTTCACTACAAGAGCTTCAAGGAAATTAAAGAAATATATTGATGCATCGGGATGGGACCTCTGGCCAGAGAAAAGCAAGTTTAAGGATCTTGCTTTTTCTTTGGATTATATAAGGGAAGGCCTGTAGCAGTTACTTCTTTATAAATATTCCTTGGGGTTCTTTCCATTTTCTTTTCTTTTTAATATACAAATCTTTTTAAATAACTATACTTTTTGCTTGAAGGATTTCTTTTTATCAAAATTGTTTATATTGTTGACTTGGAGCATCAGTAATATATTCAATATTTACTTCTCACTATTGCCCAGCATATTTTGCTGTGCCACTAAAAACCAGAAATTTTACTCAAAAAATTTCTTACCAAAAAACTGCAATCAGTTTACTTCTGTCAATTGATCAACATTCCAAACTTAATCAATCAAACACTATCAATTTTCAAACAAATCTGTATAATCAAAACACTACACTTTGATCAATGTAAACAAAACCTTTTATGGCAACAATAACCAAAACAAAATCACACCACCAACAAACAAACCAATCACAAACCACATTACCACAACAACAATATCATCACTATGACTAATTATCTACCAAAAAGATATACTATCAATACTATTGTATACTTTGAACAGTAACCTAGTCATTTCTGGAAGTGCAACAGTATTTCAGTTAAATGAAACTATCAGTGTGGTGCATCTAGTGGCATCTATAGCTTCACAATTAGCATTTTTGCATTTATTTTTTTTTGTTTTTTTTTTTTTTTCAATTTTCAATTTTCAATTTCTTATAGTTTATATATAAACTTGAGTAGGTATTCATAGCTACTTGGCACTATTTAGGATGTACATTGGTTTTAATATTTATTTTCCATGTCACTTAGATAGTTTCTATAGACAAGCTAGCATTAGACTTATTAGCTTAGCAAGTTATATAAGAGATATTGTTGCTTTCTCCATGTATAAA